CATTTCACCTCATCTTGCACTTCGTAGTTTCAAATCGAAGTGCAAGTTGAAGTGCAAGACGAAGTGCAGGATGAAGTGCAATTGCATTTCACCTCATCTTGCACTTCGTAGTTTCAAGTCCAAGTGCAAGTCGAAGTGCAAGACGAAGTGCAAGATGAAGTGCAATTGCATTTCACCTCATCTTGCACTTCGTAGTTTCAAGTCCAAGTGCAAGTCGAAGTGCAAGACGAAGTGCAAGATGAAGTGCAATTGCATTTCACCTCATCTTGCACTTCGACTCTTGCACTTCGTAGTTTCAAGTTGAAGTGCAAGACGAAGCGCAAGATGAAGTGCAATTGCATTTCATCTCATCTTGCACTTCGACTCTTGCACTTCGTAGTTTCAAGTTGAAGTGCAAGACGAAGCGCAAGATGAAGTGCAATTGCATTTCATCTCATCTTGCACTTCGACTCTTGCACTTCGTAGTTTCAAGTTGAAGTGCAGGAAGACTTGCAAGACTAAATTCGGCAAGATTAGACTATTGCAAGAGCATATGCAATGCAATCGCAACTCATCTTGCAGATGGTCTTGCAAGTCATCTGGCCTTGCAACTTAAACATGCCACGACAAGACGTATGGCAACAATCGACTTGAAATGCAATTGTAAGTCGTCTACGAATACGACCGGCATTTCAACATGACGACAGCTTGGTTGCGTATTTAGTGAGGTGCTGGGATTATTGGGATGCTACGCTTACTGGACTGTAGCGTTTTATGGGATAATAAAGGGTTTACTGGTGCTTTACGGTGGTTTACTTGGCTTACGACTTAGATAAGACGTATTGCAAGAAACGACTTGCAAGGTGATTTGAAATTCAATAGCAAGACGACTTATAAGTCGTCTTGCAACACGACTGACAATTAAACCAGCTTGACAAGCTGTATTGCAAGTCGTATTGAAATACATAGCAAGAGAGGTTGCAATACGACAGGCAATTCAACGCTGGGCTGGTGGGTTTACTACCCTGCTGAACTTACTGGGCTGATGGGTTTACTTGGCTGGTGGGTTTACTTGGCTTATACATATGTTTACTGGCTTGAGGTGTGTACTGGGCGGATGGGTTTACTAGGTATATGCTGATACAGTAAGTGGATAGTATAAAAGTACATTTGAGCATCGATTACCACCACTAATCATTATGATTCTTTCTTGATGTGCAGTGTGCTATGGTGATTGCGCAAATTATCTTAATTTAATTTACTTCCGTTGCTGACAGGCATTCGAAGTGTGAAATTCATGGCCCGGCGAAGACGGGATTATTAGCTAGTTCTGAATATGTGAAAAATTATACTAATTAATTGCAAAATCAAGTTTAATTAATTAATTAATTAAACTCATCCTTTTTGGAAATCCAGTTAACTATCAACTATTCTAATCGAACGAAAAAAAACACCTTAACTTCAAAAATGCTACTCGCCATTAAGCTTTATACTGGACGGCGCCCCACTAAAGCAATGCGGTGTCTGTTATTCTGAAAATTGGAAATATTAAATAAGTACTTTTCCGAAAGATACAAATTTTTGTACTCATTTAACGTAGGACTTTGATGGGTCATCGTCAAAATCAGCACATCTTTAATCATTTCTCAGGTCTGGGAATTTATTTTAAAATTCTAATTCTGGATGACAAATTACACGGTAAAATTTCCTGATCTCAAATTCTTCCCGAATTTCTAATCCTTCACAATTTTAAGAAACCTTCCAACCTTACAACTTTAGTGCAATTGGGCAGAAGTTGCGTGGATTTTTTTCTGGTAGGTTTTTGTGGTTTGGAGTGATTTGATTCGATCCTGGTTTGCTTTGATTGCCTGCCTCTCCATTTGGTCCGAGATCAAACGCCTGGTCCTCGGGAAGAACGGGCAGGAAGCAAATCGGGGCCATCAGCAGTACTCAAACAAGAACGTGGGACATTACATGTTTTTTAGGGGGCTGTGCAGAAAATACGGGAGCAATTTTTTGTGAAACTTGTTACCAACCATGACAATTTTTCTAAGCAATTCGATTCAGCGCAATCAAGGCAATTCACGCAGTCCTTTGTAACTTTGTAAAATCCGTAAATCCAGTAAGCTTACAAATTTTACAAATATTTTGAAAGCAAATTGGCTCACATTGTTTTTGCAGACCTATTCAGATTAAAGTGTTTTGAAATATTAAGTAACTAAAGTAATTGCATAACTTGGGCGATTTTCGTGAAATTTACAAACTTTAAGAATATAATTAGACAAACAGATTACATTCTCCTTTGCTTAATGATTTGAAGACTGATCGATAAGTTCACGCAGAACTTCATTTCAAATTACTGTTCGTCCGAAAAAAATGTGGCCTTCGCCGAGCCAAGTTTCTCTAAAAGGTTACCTGGCAGCTATCGTAATTTTAGGGAATATCGTAGCAACGTTTGAATTTTGACACTGAAATAAATTTCTGTAATTGATAAAATAAGAAAAATAGACAAATTCCGCCAGGTAACCTTTCAGAATTTCTAGGGCCACATTTTTCTCGGATGAATAGTAGTCAGGGTTTAAAATTATTTTGCACACTTCTACCATATAATGCGACATACAGGGTATTCCGACCCCTGGTTTTACTGGGTTTTACTGGGTCGTAAATTAATAAACTATAAATTAACTATGTTAAAGGGTTTTGTAAGTTTGTAAGTTTTATTACTTCACCCCAAACATTGAGTAAAACCCAGTAAATCCCCAAAACCCAGTAAAACCCAGTAAAACCCAGTAAAACCCCGGGGTATGTACTATGTGGGGTGACCAGTCTACTCATTAATAGAGATAGCCATAAAAAAAAACCGGGGAAGTTGTTTTCAGAGTAAAACCCCGGGTTTTTCCGAATCCTGGCGACATTATTGTAATTTATAATCTTACAAATATTTGTAAACCGATATCCCTTTTTTTAAAGAATTTTATTTGGAACATTTTTATATTTACAAGTTTTAAGAGGTTACGACGACTGGCTAAAGTCAAAACATACACGCAGTCCTTCCTAAATTCTGTAAAATTCTAAAACTTAGACGCAAATATTTACAAAAATCTTTTAAAAAATTGAGGGATGATCTTTTGACAAACTTTTGTAAGATTACGAATTAGTAAATAGGGCGTCGCGTTGTTTGGTAAAAAAATTTAAAAATTACTTTTAAAAAATCGACGGATTCAAATTACTATAATGTTTTGCGTGAATCGACCTACTAAAATACACCAACAGCCATTCTAAACCTTGTACCGTATTTATTTTTTTGTCAAAGTTCGAAAATTTCACTAAAATCGTCCAAGTTATGCAAATTTTAATTCAGAAATGAAAACAATCCAAAATTTTCAACATTTGTATTTTGATCCGATTCAGTTTGAGTTTTGAAACCTGGTAAACACCATATATGTATAAGTTTTAAGTTTTGCAGTATTTCGTGCAAAATATGTACAGGGTGGTTAGAATGTCGCGCAACAATGGAAAATTTTTCAATGGGAAAAGCCCCTAAATCTCCATTAGTTACCGAAGTTTTGCCTCTTAACTTCACCAAATTATAATTTTCAGCCTGATTATTAAAATTCACCTAAATGTAATCAGTTTTCCCTGTCGTAATTGAATTTTTTTATCAGTTTTAATAATGGCACCACGTCAGTTGACTTTAGAAGAGAGAATCTGGGTCAATGACGAATTTGTTAGGCTTAACGGGGATATTGCACAAATAATTCGCAACTGGCCATTTCTCACCGCTCCCCCAAACAGAACAACAATTTACCGGATAAGGAAGAGATATCGTGACACTGGATCGGTTCTGGACAAAAAAAGAACAGGCAGACCAAAGTCCGTAATGACTGAAGAAAATTTTGATTTGATCCAGAACCAGAAAATTTTGATTTGAACTATTTTCAATGTAACTTTTGGCGTAAAATTTACTCAAATAAAACACTTTAAGTCACGTTCACAGCTTGATATCCTCTCAAATTGATTAATGATATTTTACGAATTATGAATTACGAAACTGTCCAACATAACCAAAATTTGTAACATTTTAAGAGGCAAGAAGATGCAGGAGACAAGCACTGGCTTAGTTCCTACCCATGACGGCCAAAATATGCAAAGCGTTGTCGAGAAGACGTCGCCTCAATATTTTTAAAATTAATGATATGTAATTGATGATTTAACTTAATTAATTGGAATAAATTCGTGCGTTATGTTAAAAAAAACTTCTCAAAATTTGCAGCCAAGGACCCAATTTTATTTGTTATTTTCTTTTGTCGGATGATTCCTTAAAATTTCAAATTAATATCGACACACAGGGGTCCATTACGTAAATAAACATCAAAAATAATCCAACAAATAGTTAAAACACGGAGGAAAGGGGGCAAATTAACCAAATATGTTTGGAAATCCCATAATTTTCGCCGTTTCCTCCTCCTTTTGACGAAAAATGCATTTAACAAGATAGACATGTGGCAACTATGAAGATAGTTTATATAAATTGAAACGTCCTGTGTGAACAGATTGGCCAAATTTCCCACCTGATTGTTTAGTAATATTATTCTCAATGTTTATATATTTCAGTAAAGTCGCCAAAATATGCAAATATGCATAATACTTTATGTAAATACTTTAATCAGTGTTTCGCTTGGCAATAACCGGATTGGCCAGACCGCCGGTCAAAAGCGGCTTTTGACCACTTATCAAAATAGGTGGCAAATGGTCGAAAGTGGCCAAAATGCAAAAAATGGGGCATTCTGCGACAAATGCATGCCGCGAAGTGTACTCACAACAGGGTGGTCGGTCCAACAGCTTGGACTACTGACACAACATAAATAGTCAATTTAAATACTTCAACAACAATTCCTTCCTCCACCATCAAACACTTATCGATAAGGTAAATTTATGCCCCCAAAATTTTGCATGATATAAAGGGTGAGGATTAACAATTACTTCTCTTTTTTTATAGTTTTTTAGTCAAACTGGGAAAAATGTCATACCCAAACGAGGCATTTAACTGGATGAGGGGAACGGACGAAAAATCTCGAATGGACTTCGTACGTGAAATTTTAGCTTGCTGTTCGCCAGGCGAGCTAAAGATCGTTCAGAAACTGGTCAACACAGCACAGAAGCGAAGCAGGCCCATTCCTCGTCTTGGTCAAAAAATACGGCGGAAGCTCCTTGCGTCATCATCTGTGTCATCATCGTGTGTTCCTGTGTCAGCGTCGTCTGTTCCTGTGTCACCATCGTGTGTTAATGTGTCAGCGTCGTCTGTTCCTGTGTCACCATCGTGTGTTCCTGTGTCAGCGTCGTCTGTTCCTGTGTCACCATCGTCTGCTCCCATTGTTCCTGTCGCATCGTCTTCTCTGTTATCATCGCCGAGAAAAGTGTTTTGGTGGGAAGTGTATGCAGAAAGTAACATTATTGCTTTTGACACAGAGATGGTTACACTTATTCAACCAATTGGAAACCAAAAGAATTCGCTTGGAACAGTGGCTCTAGTAGATTACGAGGGTGGAATTATACTATCGGTAACTCATTCATATAGAATTTGGCTTTTTCTATTCGCGACTTTCAGATTAATATATATCTTTTCCACTCCACCAGGAAAAAATTCAACATGCTCCAGGGAGTTTCTTGACGGATTATGCTCATGTTGCTATCACTGGATTTAAAAAATTTGACCTAGAAAACGGGAACAATTTCAATGAAATAAGGGATCAAGTAGTGTCTCATTTCGAAGGATCATTAATTATCACACAGGCCGGGCATGGTGACTTCAAAGCATTTGGGTTAATAACTGGAGACTATGACACCTTTGATATTCAACACAAGTTTCTTCAAAAAACTGGAGAAGATAATCACGGATACCCCGTCATGCAACCAATTATCTTACGCAGATTAGTTCTCCACTACTTTCACACCGATATTCAAGACGGAGTGCACAGTGCTGAGAAGGATGCCATCTATACGATGAAATTATTTAGAATTTATCAAAACCTGGCTAAAGAGGAATGTATGATAAACAGGTCCGACAACTGCAGGTCATCACATGACTTTTCATTCTCTTTGCTCTTGCACTCACAGCAACTTTACATATCTTGCATTTATTGGAGATAACTTTATGGCCATTGTATTTTGTATCAAAATTACTCCAAATAAGATCTCTCGCTCGCCCAAGCAATTTACCAACTTTCGTACGAGATGAATTGTCACTGCTGACTGCAATAAGGTAAAAAAAAGGTATTGTTCCTGTGTCATGAAAGTGTTCCAGTGTCAATTACCAACAGCGACTGCACTGATTCCATTGTCATGTGATTGTAAATCTGTCCTATTATGATCTAGTTCTTCCTCCGAGTTTAGCGATAATTGCGAGTCCAAATCCATGTCATCATCATCTATGAATTCTGGCGTTCCATATCGTTGAATTATGTCATCATCAGACATATTTGAATCTGCATACTCCCACCGTTTGTTTTCTATTTGAACGTTAAATTCAGCAGAATTTTCTCCTCGTCCTACGTCATCTACTCGGGGGCTTGAACATGAGTCCCCGTCTCACCGTGCGACGGATTGAACTTTTTGTGGCCACGCGCATTTTCAACTTTCCCGTAAGGATATCATGTGTTCTCTATATCTCTGTTATTCCCCATAATATCCATTCCTGGTAAGTACTAAAAAAAAGTTCAAAAAATTAGAATTATTTTGATAAAAAAAAATTCTGCTATAAGTTTATACTTTTGGCATGAGCGGGGTTCAAAGTTGGGATTTACAAGGGTAGTGTCACAAGTGATAATCGCGGATTTCACATACAACACATCAAAATGAACACAATATTTGTTATAATGAACTACAATTAGCTGAAATATGATTACTAGTCATAATACATGATATTATAGCACGATAGGGCAATGTTCCCCCGATTTTGGTAAAAAAAATAAATACAGGAAATATATAAAAAAAACATTACCTTAAATGTAACGTACGCCTTGTTGTAATTATTTTGAAGTTGTTCACATGTGCAAATGCCAACTCGATTCAAAGATCTGAAAATAGAAAATTTAAGCCAGGTAGGGCCCCTTGTCGGTTAAAACCGCAATACTACCTGGGATTAGAGTATTAAGGTACATGGCTTGGGGCCGCTGAGTAGAACTACATGGGCATAATAACAAACATAATTTATAATCACTCAATTTAACTTTATACCTTATAACATGATCAAAAATGACTAGATTCATAAAACTAAAAACATTTGTTGTCGTTGGTTTTTATCGTTGGGCTAATACTTAGTATAGTTAGAATAAAATAATGGGGAAAAAAATACTTACCTCGTTTTCAAGTTCAATTTCATTTTCGTAGTCCAAACTGTTTTCATCGGGTTCGACTTGTTGATCATCGTCACCAAATTCTTGTGTAGTTGGTACAGATGGGCATTCTAGCATATGTAGGACTTCTTGAGGTAGAGCCAACTGTTTTCGATAACGGGCTCTTTTGTCCAGATGAAGAGATGATAATAGGGGATCTGAGGTATCCATGGCTCGATTGAATATGTCTGTCATAGTGGCTGTTCGACTAATTTTTCGAGAATGACGCAGTCTATCCGACTTGTACATCTTGTTTCGAGACTCACCTCCTTCTTCTCCAAGGCATCCAAGGGGGATAATACTAGAATTTATGATGTCCTTTCCGTGGATCAGGATCTTGTGCATTGATGCAGGCATCGGGAACCATTGATACAAAGTTAGGTAATATTGTACTACGTTGAAGCAATACTCTCCAAATTTGTCAGCGTTGAGGGGGAGTTGACAAGTTAAGGCCACCAAGATGACCCAGAGCCTTCGAACAAACTCCACATCTAATCCAGTCAACTTTGCGAACTCTTCGTAATTTCGGAATGCTCGACGAGCGGTGTTGCCATCATTGGATGTTCCACTGCCAGTATTATTTGGAAAATCCACCCGCAGTCCCATTTCTTTCAGCAGTAACTGTTGGATCTCTTCCTTCCTCTTCTTTACACTTGCCTGAAGCACAGGTCCACGTGCCTGCCATTTCTGGATATCCAAGCGGTATGCAATGTGTAAACAAAGTTCCAAAAGTCGAATCCAAGCGTGGAGAGGGCTGATACCATGGTTAAGACGCCCGGGCTTCGGGGTAAACAACCCTTTTCCAATATTTTCGATGGAATTAAATGTTGAAGGTTTTGCTTCACAAATCGGGCAACACATTGAAGATTTGACCCCACAAATTGCTGATAATACTTTTCCGTCAATTACAGTAAATCTCAAGTCGAAGTTGATGGTGATGGTTTTCCCCAGGTCCACAAATACTTCAATTGGGTCGAGAACTGCAATCTGATCTTCAACATATTTTTGCTCGTTCAATATTTTTTCCTGGGACTCCTTGATGTATTGCAGGTGTAGGGGTCTGCAAAATCGAATGGATTGAGGCGAAGAATTGTTCCAAATTACAGTTCCATTAGCGGCAGTCAATCTGATTGGAGTCAAAGTTGTTGCAAATATTGAGGAGTCGTCAAAAGATGTTGAAGACTTCTGCTTGTATCTAGATTGTCCAGATGATCCATCAAATCCCCATGAGCAAATTAGTGTTGCTTTGATCTCACATATATGTTGAGAGGCAAATATTTGAAGCAAGACCGAATTCTGCATATTGACAATACGAGATGCAGTATGCTGTAACAGGGAATTCAATGGAATTGATGCTGAGGACTCTGTCACGCACAATTCATCCGCTGGTGGTCTTGAGGAAATCTTGCACTTTTGAACTTCATGGTAGGATGGATATAAAGGACATCCATGCTGGTTAGCTCCTTCTCGAAGCCTCTGGTACTGTGTTTGTGTCAATCCCAAATCTAAAATTAGGGACAATGCTTCTTCAGCAGTATAAGGGGTTGGAGTTGTTGAAGGTTTGCTGAGGGAATCCAGTATTACTTGCTGTTTCGATGGTGACAGGGATTTTTTGATAATTCTGGCTGCCTCAGGATGTCCGTGCTTATTTAACGTCCTAGAAACTGCATGGACAAGGTCGCCAGGATCCTCAGGGGACAAGGATTTCTCAAGTTCTTCAACCCTTCGTCGCTTGGTCCTTTCTGAAGGGAAGAAGTTTTTAGGCAAGACAAAATAACCGTCCAAGTATTGTTTTTCCTTGTCCAAGAAAAAACTCATTCTTCTTGCGCACTTCTGATATTTGGCGACTGTTTTGAAGGCCCAAGCTCTTGCTAATCTGTCCAAGTGATCCTGTTGCAGATCGTTCAAACTTGCAGGTAAAGATTCTGATACAGTTGTCTTGATAAAATTAACTCGTTCAGACGGTGTTTTTAAATTTACTATCTGAAACCCATATGATTTTAATTATTTAAGTAAAAAAAACAGTAAATTTTTTTTATTAATTTTGAGAATAAAATAACCCTTATATTACCTTTTCGGCCAAAAACTTCTTTTCTATAATTGTTGGTACTCCTTCCGTGTCGTCATCTTCCATGTCGTGTGTCCTTGTTTCTGGAGACTTATCACTTGAGGCCAGCGACACCATCAAGTCAGGTCGGTCTGAAGAAGGCTGTTCCGAGTCGTCATTCGTAGATCCACCGGCATTATCTTTAATTGTGCTCATTTTTTAACGAATAGCCCGATTTAGGTCCGTCAGGTTGCTGTGTGGAGTCCGTATGGGAAAGATCATCATACACTCCGGGTTCAGCTTCCTGACTTCCCACCGATGGGCCCCCCACGGTGTTTGGTGTTTCCGAAATTGGTGTCCAATCCATGTCAATGTCCGTGTCGCTACCGTAATCAATTGTAATCTGAAACAAGAATATTATTTTAACTCATTTACCAATAACACCGAACATCCCAACGATAATTGCCAAACATTCATCCTAGATCATTTAACCAAGTAATTTTCATCATGTCCACGAAGGAAGCTTCTCTTCATATTTCGATTCCTCGGTTCTGCGAAATAAATAAATATTTTAGTTAAATTAATCATATATGACACAAATATAATTTATTTTTCCAATATTTATTTTTTTACCAAAATCGGGCGAACATTGCATTATCGTGCTATAATATCATGTATTATGACTAGTAATCACATTTCAGTTAATTTCAGTTCATTATAACAAATATTGTGTTCATTTTGATGTGTTGTATGTGAAATCCGCGATTATCACTTGTGACACTACCCTTGTAAATCCCAACTTTGAACCCCGCTCATGCCAAAAGTATAAACTTATAGCAGAATTTTTTTTTATCAAAATAATTCTAATTTTTTGAACTTTTTTTAGTACTTACCAGGAATGGATATTATGGGGAATAACAGAGATATAGAGAACACATGATATCCTTACGGGAAAGTTGAAAATGCGCGTGGCCACAAAAAGTTCAATCCGTCGCACGGTGCGTCTCCTAATTCTTCCTCGACATCTAAACAATCAAATTTAGTTGTATAATTTGCTATATTTGTCTTGAGGAATGATAAGTTAATGATTTTACTATGGACATTGATGATTTCATCAGGATCTAGCAGAACAAGTTGACGATTATTTATTACTGGCATCGCTGTATGATTGGATCTAAAATTAAAAAATTGCTCATTAGCTCTAGAAATAAGTAATAAATAACACATTGCATTATTAATAATTCAAACAGGAAAAATTGATAATTGACACAGGAACAATTAATAATTGACAAATGAGCTATTAAAATATTCAAGTATCGAGCAAATGATTAAATGACATGAGCAAATGACATTACTTACTATATTTGTGCACGTTGAATTAATTAGATTCGTAATTATAAGACTATTTCAATTACTTTGTCAGAACTACGATTATTCTTTGGGCAAAGAATTAATAATAACGGCCGAGAGCCTGTTTAAACCCACCGCGCAAGTCATGAGCCAATAAAATACTTTTGACCACTTTTGGCCACTTTCTACCATTTTGGCCACTTTCGGCCACTTTTGACCACTTTTGACCACTGGCCAACAAAAAACGATTTTAGCCGGCAAAAGCGAAACACTGACTTTAATTAACAAATAAAAACACTTTAGTTCTAAACTTTTCAAAATTTTACCTTCGTATTGGTGACTATACTAAATATCGCAGT